TAAGGTTTGAGTGCAGCTGGGGGGATTTAGGGACTAGGGGAATGCAGTGATCCTCTCTGTACCCATGACACACAAACCCTGCAGGTTCGCTAGACGCGTCTGCGCCCAGAGTTGATGGAGAAAAGCTATACAGAAATCACCATGGAAATTGTATTTCCTGTACAAATCTTTTCTAGAAGTTATTGAATTATTACAGAATTCAGGATGTATTATGATTTATGGAGGAATTGCCAAAATTGTGTTCTGTGTCATTAACATTCACCTGCCTTGCAGTAAAGATATAAATGTCATCTCTCATTCCTCTCAGAGCTGAGAACCACAATTAAGTCGAAAGAGGGAGATGGACGTTTTGTTTCAATATTTTTATGGATGAGCAGAAAGCCAGATGAGATCCTTTGAAAAGGCCATTTTATCACTATTACATTTAATAAATGTTGAACAATAGCATATGTTTCTGCTCTTGACAATTGCGCTTTCTCAACATGCAGGTTCTTGGCTGAGTACAACAACAAAAGGAACCTGTGGTTTCCTGAGATGCTTTCAAGCACAAGGGGCTGGCCTGCTTTCTGCTCTTATTTAGGTTGAGTGTGCTGTTATTAGATGAATAGTTACATTTTTTAGTACTAATTGCTAGCCTGAATGGTCCTGCATGCAAACAGAATTATTTTTGGTCTACTAGTATTTTGCTAATGAATAGCTCCTTGGGTCAACATGCTCAGTGGATGTCACTTCTTGGTAATTTTGTTAACCCATCTCCCTCACTTTCTGATCTATGAAAGATGTTGTTTCCTGTAAGTAAAGCCAAACAAGCAGCGTGGAGAGTTAACAGCCTTGCAAGGATTAACATGTGAATAGAGCGGAGAAATTCCCCATAATCCCGAGCAAATACTGCGTTTATCACAATTCATAGCTCAAACAGCTTGTCATATGGATGACAGATTGACCGTGAGGCAGCAGGGTGCCCTCGTGGCCAAGAAGGCCAATGGGATCCTGGGCTGCATTAAGAAGAGCATCTCTAGCAGGTCGAGGGAGGGGATCCTGCCCCTCTACTCAGCCCTGGTGAGGCCGCATCTGGAGTACTGTGTCCAGTTCTGGGCTCCACAGGACAAGAGGGATGTGGAGCTGCTGGAGAGAGTCCAGCGCAGGGCTACAAGGATGATCAGGGGCCTGGAACATCTGCCCTATGAGGAGAGGCTGAGGGAGCTGGGCCTGTTCAGCCTGGAGAAGAGAAGGCTGAGAGGGGACCTGAGCAGTGTAGGCAAATACCTCAAGGGAGGAAGGGAAGAAGATGGGGCCGGCTTCTTTTCCAGTGGTCACCGGCAGAACTAGAGGTAATGGCCACAAACTGAAGCACCAAAAGTTCCACAGGAACTTAAGAGAAAATTTCTTACCAGTGAGGGTGACAGAGCACTGGAACAGGCTGCCCAGAGAGGTTGTGGAGTCTCCTTCTCTGGAGATCTTCAAAACCCGCTCGGACGCAGTCCTGTGCCACGTGCTCTAGGTGACCCTGTGTGTGCAGGGGGTTGGACTAGATGATCTCTAGAGGTCCCTTCGAACCTTAACAATTCTAGGATTCTAGGAACCATCCTTCCTTTCTCCAGAATGTCTGCAAGCTGGTCACGCTCCACTTGGGTAACTACCCAGTCTTTCATATATTCCTGTCTTCTGGTCAAGTGCCGCTCAGGGTAACATTGGTGGCTTTGAGGTTGTGAGTGCAATTTTGTTTTTTTTGATGAACAAACCACTGTAGTGAAGTGAGTGTATCTGAAATTGTGCTGCTCCCTTTGGTACTAGTGTTCAGCTGGAGATGCTCAGATAGCAGCTCTTGCTCCTGCTGGGCTCATGATTGCCTCTGAACCCACGCACCCTGTAAAACCCACCAAAATACACTATTTCCTAACACAGCTCAGGAGATTGCACCTTTCACATCCATTAACAAATATTTTATTCCCAGATATGCTCCAGGAGCCCAGAGCCTTTCAAACAGATGTTCCAATGGTCAAAACAAGGAGATGAGAAACCAGACAGTTAGATGGCTCCTGGGGAGGACAAACCCAGCGAAGAGCAGTCCTGCTGCAGAAATACCCAAGGAAACAGGATAGAAAAAATGAGATAGGGGACCAAATGCTTTGCACCGGGTGTTTTGGGGGGCACTGTGCTCAGCTTATTTTCCACTGCAGGTGCTGCTTTTGCTCCTCAAAACTGTCTGATGTAGCTGTTGCAGATTTAGGTATCTAAACAATGCTTCTTTAAATAGGGCTGATGCAATCAATATTTGACACTGACTTAGATAAGTTCTAAATATCTATTAAGTCAGAATTTGACATGAAATTGCTGATTTTCCAGAATCATTTTGTTTTTGGCAAGTACAATAGGACATGATTTTTCTGCCTTGCGCGTGCCTCCATCAAGGCTACTTTTCTAAAGTGAATGACACTTTCTAGGGAATTGCTTTTGATCTCTTTTATCACTGATTTAACATGGGGCCAAGACATAAAAGGCAGACGGATTGCTCCTGTTTATTTGTGACACTGTGGTACAAAACGTAGAGTCAGAAAAGCCTTTAAGACATGAAATGTCTAATGAATGAACCTCCAGTGCAGGTGGCAAATTATTCCCACTATGGGGTTTTCTCCCACAGGGCAGTGAGAACAAAGCAAAATTTTGATCCACAAAGCTCCTATGCTTTTTTTGTTGTTTTGATTCTAATCATTTCCCCTATCAGAACTGGCAAAGGAGAAACCTGCCCATCACTTTCCCAGCGTTGCTCCCTGGGGCAAATTCATTATATCCAACTGGGATTGACTTCACCTATCTATGCCTAGATAGAAAACGCTTCTGTATTTTTTGCAGGCAGCTTTTACACGAAGCTAGAGCTTAAGATCCAATTTACACCATTACTTGAATGAAGAAATAACTGAAGCATCACAAGGTGAGCAATAACTTGCTCTGGAGGGGAGAAATCCCAATGGGCTGGTTTAGTGGTGGTGAGTTGTGGCGGGATATATATGTTATATATCTTCCTAGAGGTATCTCGCAGTGTTGTGCCACCACAAATACCAGAAAGGGTAGGATTATAAAGGTTCTCATAACTTTATTTCATTTTTCTGTTCACATTTAATACCACAGACACAGCTGAAGTTTGAAACACGGAGGTGACGCTGGCCGTACGTTCAGGTCATCTACACAGCGATGTGGTTCGTGAGCTTGCGTCTCAACGGCCTTCCCGAGCTTCCCAAATTTCTTGTTTCCCTGAGTTGCATGGTATCTGCCACCAGACCCGTGTGTCCGTCAGCGAGGAATGAAAGAACAAAAAGGGTTAAGCAAAGCACACGTGGTGTGAGGGAGTGAGAGGCCTGGTACCATGGCTATGGCTCCTACCGATGACCCACCAGCCTGGGCCTAGCTGAGGGTCACACCAACAGGGTCTCCTGAGCTGGACCCTTGGCGTCCTGGATTGGTCTTGGCTTCCCCAGCTATTCCTGCATTTTGTTTCATACGTTTGTGTTCAAAAAATACCATTGATGGGGAACAAAACCAATTCAGGTGCGTGATCCAAACTTGTAGCCCGGACACAGGCTGTAGGCCCACACCTGGCAGAACACGGCCTGTCATCAGTAACAGAGCCCAAGGCAGCAGGACCTGCTGGGTAATGGACAACTCGTTCTGCAGAGTTAATTGTGGGGCAGTCAGTAATAAATACTAGGACAAAATAAATAGAAAGTTGCTATTGCACAGGCATGCTCATACGTGGCAATTGCTGGACCACAAAATCTACATGTCAATGTGACAACAGATGCGATACAAGGCATATGCATCAGCATACAAAACGGAAAGGCTTGGGGTTTTTTTTTCTTTTAAATAGAATATTTAAGTTACAAAAATTAACTAACTGAATCAGATTTTTCACAGCTCAAGGACAAGAATGTCTCTGCTTCTGCATTTTAACACAGTTTTTTTTCCATTGCTTTCCCAGATCACATTTGCTACAGATGTTCCCCAAAGCCAGCAAGAGCAATTTTGAAATTAGTAAGGCAGCCCCAGTGCATGCAAAGTGCACTCAAAAACCCGTGGTTTTTAACCCAAAGGAGAGTCTTTCCGTGCAGGAGACCTGCCTTGCTGACCAACCCGGGGGACCACAGTGGGTAGCAGAAACAGGAGCCGTTGCTTTGTGGGGATACCCAAATGCCTGCAAGTTCCAGCATATCGAGCTGTTTGCAGCCCAACTGCGCAGCATGACCACGGATGATTTAGCGAGTAAAAAAAATGCTTTGGTGGGAGATTGTGTCCTGTATTTTTATAGCATCACTGCAGCTCTGAAGTCAGTTCTTGTCCCACCAATATATACTTAAAAAACTATTTCAGCACGGTCATGTTCTGAGTCATTTCTACGAAGGGATTTTTTTCATTTCCTTTCTACTCAGGCAAGGTATGGAGGTCATTTATTTTTCAGTAGTGTGTATAGAAATTATGCATTTTTATTTCTCTCTTTCTTTTGAAGAAATCATTTTCCTCTGAACGAGGAAAAATTTGTTTAAAAAAAAAAATTGTGAAGAGTATATCAAATTCCACATTACTGCACCAAAAAGGCAATTCAGTTTTCCTCTCTTTAGGATCTGATGACACACTAGAGAAAATCCATAGTAAACTACTGTTAATTCTGGAAAAAAAATCAGCTCGAATTGGTGGCTCCTTGAGGCCCCGTGAGCCCATGGTCAGACAGAGCTGGTTGCTCCAAGTGCCAAAGTCCAGAGCTCTTTCCACAGTCCACATTATAAAGGGGGGACAAAACTGTGTCACGTGGGCAAAAGCAGCTGAAAAAAATGATGTTTGAACGTTGCTGAGTTGTGCAACCCCCTGCCTCCTTCCATCCTCTCAAAGTTTAGATTTTTAATTTATTTTTTTTTTAGTTTTATTGTTAACGGCCTCCGCCGCAGCGTGCTGGGGATCCGGCGGCCCCGCTTGGCGCCGTGACGATGCTCCGGGGCCCGGCGACGCTGTCAGGTGAGGACGCTCGGCTGGCTCCAGGCGCGGGAGCTTTCCTGCTTGGTGCTGGAGAGTCTTTTCCTCGGGAGCGGCCGGAGGCCGAGCAGGCGGCAGGCGGCCAGGCGGTACTTCCTCGACATGATGTTGTAGAGGATGGGGTTGATGGCGGCGCTAAGGTAGAAGAGGACGAAGGACACGAGGTTGCAGTACTGGCTGATCACGGCTATCTCCAAGGAGCCCGCTTCGAAGGACTTGGAGAATAAGTACCGTCCTACGTGAAAAGGCAACCAGCAGAGTATGAAAGCAAAAACCACCACAACTAAAACAAAAACAGCAAAAGAAACGGAGTTAAGTATGAAGGTTACGCGATGGCTGATTTAAATATATTCCTATTCCCTTCACGCGCGTGAAAATGCGTCCTGATTTCTTTTCAGTTTTGTCTTTCTCAGATACATTTTCTGACAGTTTAAAATAGCTATATTTATTACACATCTATCATATTTAAACAGGCTGTCTGTCCACTGCATCACTAATTTGATATAGCATACTTCTGAGCTATATAAACTTAGGCTTTTCACTAAAAAAGAGAGAGAATTAAAAAACCAGAATGGTTATAAAAAAAAGCATAAATATAGTCTCTCAAGTGCAGTGTTTAACAAAAGTCACAGATGATGCAAGATACTCAACACTGTGGTTCATAAGGAAGAATGAAACTCCTGCAAAGCAAAATGATTTAAACTAAGGGCCCAAAGCAAGTAAGGGTACCCAGCTCAGTAGAGGGCATATTCCAAGGCTCGTATTCCATGTCCCTAGTTTGTCACTTTTTTGGAACATGAGTTACTTCAAGAAAGGTAAAACTTAATATATAATTATGTTGTCACCTGCTATTCCTGTACCATTGTACTAGCACTATGATATAGATGCACACATAATAACATATATTGCAATCACAGGAAATGTTTGCATCTTTGAACCTTATGAATTTCTATTCTAGAGAAGGGGAAACTTTTTCTGTTAATATACAGTGTGCTCTGGACCTGTGCTGTTTTTCACATTATTGTGAATGGACCTGTTAATATACCAGAAAAAAATAGAAAACTCAAGACAGGGCTCTTGACAGTCTTAAATACTTTTTTACCAGTCACCTCTTCTGTCTTGTTAACAGCCCTGTTCATATCAATCCAAACCCCGGTGCAATGAGTTAGTGTTTCCCAACAAATCCAGGGAGGCAGGACTTCAGACTATCAGGCCACAGCAGAAAAAAATCAAAGAACTAAGCAGGATGATTATTCTTTCTTTAAAACTTCCTTTAAAAGCTTCAAGAAAAAGTTCCCAAATTTAGACGACTACTTTTGGTGAAGCTAATTTCCAGCTCCTCCTTGCCCTGAGCCAACCATTGCCACTTTCATCCTCATTTTCTCCCCCTGCAGATTTCAGACCATGCTTCCCAGCCACTTTCATGCTCATTTTCTCCCCCTGCAGATTTCAGACCATGCTCCCCAAGCTAGCAAGGGTGCTCTGGAGCTAAACCTACATAACAAACATTGCTGTTATTGCACATAGTGTTTTAAGCATAGCCAGTATTTTCACATGTGAGCATGCATACCCTTGATATACATGATATGCATATATCTCCATGATATACCCATGCATACATGCTTTCAGTAGGAATGGGGACTTATAGCTCCTTTGGAAGTTGTGCTGTGCACTTAGGGGGTTAGTTGTGGACCTAAAAGCCTTACTACACTGTCTCAAAGAGGTATTGCTGCTGCTCCCATTTACCTGGTGCTCTGTGACTTGCTAAGGACTTGGAAATTGCCTTCAAAATTTTAAGCAGAAAACAATGAGAGCAAAAGGCACTGTGCCCGTGCTAGCACTAAGCCTTCCTGAACCTCTTTTCTTTCCATTCAGCACTGGGCTACTGTTATTTGGAGAATGCTGTGTCTCTGTCAAAGGACAGCCTTGTCCCCATCCTGCTGCTCTCCGACCTTGTGAAAGCAAATAGGTGTTTGAAATGTGGATGCCTGTGGCAGAAATAATCAGTTATTGCTCTGGAGTTCTTTAGGGTGAAATATTTGGAAATGTAAGCACGGGAGGAATATGCTCACAGCTTTGTTACAGTGAGCAGGGGTTCATATTTCTGAGGCTCTCGAAGTGTGAAATGAGGAATTACCTCCAAGGTCACACTTACCAGACTGAAGTAATTCTATTGATCATAAACTGAGAGTGAAAGGGCATAAAGAACGCTGCGGGTTTTATGATTCTTGCAGCCGTTGCATAGTAATAAAACAGCACGGGAACAAAAAAAAATCAGCTGGGTTCCCATTCACTGATTATGGAAGTTCAGACCACCAGCACCTCTCCATCCAGCTCATTAGCCCGGCAAGTTCAGCGCGGTGGAAATGAGCACGGGCGAAACCTCCACACTCAGAAAATTCATCCCCTCGAGCAGACAGAGGTAAAATCTCAAAGGAGGTAAAATGCTCCCTGTGAAGCCCGTGCTGGTGTTTCCCTAGTGAAAAAATACAGCTTAGTTTTCATCAGCTGATACAGCCACGCTTGTAAATAATCTCCTCTTTGTCAAAAACCCCATAATCACCCCATTTAAAACTAAACGCCCTCATCGCCTATCTACTTAGGCTGCAGCTAAACTTTGGAGCTCTGGGAGTGATTTGCTTTGTTTAAAAATCAAATAAACTGTCCTTCTCTGAATAATGTTGGTGTCCACCGCCACAGAGCGAAAGCGTGCAGAAATCTCCAGGGCAATGGCTAATCGTATCTGTAGCGTTTGCTCTTGTCAGTAATTGTTATGAACATCTGCCGAAGCCCTTCAGAGCCCCGGCTCAAGCCAGCTGGAAATAAATCTAAAGAGGGAAGAGAGTTACTCTAGAGTTACTCTACAAATACCTTAAATTGTAGCCCTTTGTATGGAACCTTTTCAATAAAGGCTTCCCTTTACAAGTGATTTTAATGAACTGCCAGCGTTTTTCTCAGTCTTTCTGTCTCTCATACACACTCACACCCACTCTGCAAACACGGAGCAAGAGGCGTCGTACCTAACATCTTCACAGTTTGCTTGTTGTTCTGGTCCCTGATGGCAGTGTTTGGACCCATGTTCTTCCTCTTCCTCCTCCAGAGTTTCCTCCCAATCAGGCTGTAGAGCACCGTGAGGCAGAACACAGGGAGGAAGAAGAAGATGCTGGAGGTCCAGACCATGATGGTGAGAAGCCCCGACCGGATGGCGTACTCCGTGGCTCGGCACTCGTTGGTGCTCAGCGGGTTGGTGCCATTCTCGTGCTCAACCCCGACCAAGACGAAGATGGGCCCGGCGCTAATGAAGGAGACGGCCCAGAGGAAGAGGATGACCAGCTTGACCTTCCCTTTGGTAATGATGACCTTAGCACGGAGGGGGAAGCAGATGGCCACGTACCGCTCCACGCTGAGGGCCGTGATGTTGAGGATGGTGGAGTAGGTGCAGCTCTCGCTGACGAACTGGAAGAGCTTGCAGAGGAGGTTCCCGAAGTTCCAGGGCCGGTACTGCCAGAGGCGAAAGAGGTCCAGGGGCATGCAGAGGAAGATGAGCAGGTCGGAGAAGGCCATGCTGGACAGGTAGAAGTTGGTGGTGGTCCGCATGTCCCGGAACCGCGACACCACCAGCATGGTCATGAGGTTGCCGACGACGCCGACGACGAAGAGGAGCACGCAGGCGGTCGTGATGCCGGTGAGGACGGGCGCGGGGAAGAGGTGCAGCGGGGGCTCGGGGCCCGTGCGGTTCTCGGCGCCGCGGCCGCCCGCGCTGCCCTCCCGCATGCTGCCGCCGCATCCCCCGTGGCCGCGCACGGACCGCCCGGCACTGCGCGGAGCCGCTGCCGGTGCCGAGCGGAGCCGCTCGGCGCTGCGACTTGCCCTGAGCAGTCTGTGTCCCGGCGGAGTTTCCCTGGGGGCTGCGATTTCCCCTGCTGCTGTCCCCTGTTCCCCCAGTCCCGGAGGCTCCTGGCTCTAACACCCGCGCTCGGGCTGCGCGCGTCGCTCCCGCGTCGCCTCAGCGCGCGTCGCCGTCGCGGGGTGGGCAGGGTGCTCGCGCTGCCCGAGCCGGGGCTTCATTTCATCCCTCGTGCAGGTCTTCTCTCCAGCTGCACGGATGTGAAGTGCCTTAGATCCTCACAGGATGCCTAGTGGGGACGTGGGGATGGGTATAGCGATATAAGGACAGTCCCCGTCCCTCCCCTTTTTGTGCCTTTGCTCTGCCCTTGGCTCTCGCAGGCGTAGCCAGGAGCGCGGGGAGGCTGCGCTTTGCTGGAGCTGCTGTAGTCACCCCCTCGCTATGATTTACCTGCCATTAAATTGTGTTTCACTGCGTTTCTGCTGCCCTGCACTCTGCCCTTTCCAGCTGAGTGTTTCCTCAGGCTCCCACCTCCTGTTTCCCGATAATGTTGCAGCCCAGGACCCTTCACTAAGATGGGAGCAGCGTAAACTGGACTCTGAGACAGTGATATGGTGCTCAAAACACCCATAAAGAGGGGGATCTTCCCTTCTTTTCCTTCCAGCTAGTCTCTGCAAGAGGGCTAAAGGGAGCAAGTTACAGCACAGTGATGGCCCTGCTCCCTTGCCCTGCACCCCCATCTCCCAAGCAGCAGCCCCTCCATGGGCATCCAGTTCCACCTACCTGGGAATTAGAATTTTCCACTGTTTTTTGTTGGTTTTCCAGAGAAAAAAAAAAAAAAGAGCTATTGTATGTGATAATTGCCAGGCTTCACTAGTGGGCTGTGCGTGGTGTGACACAGCACAGGGTTGCTCTGCCTGCACTTGGTCTCGACCAGCTCCTTACACCAGCACACACGTCAGTGCCTCATCCCTGTCCCGCGTCAGATGAGACAGTTTGCAGCTTGGTCAGGGTCCCTATTCCTCATTCCCAATCTCACATTGTGAGTCAGTTTTTGCAGCAAGTTGCACTCAACAGGTGATAGTTTTATGGGAGATGACTGCCAATTAATTGCAGCTAGGGAGAAGAAAGAGACTAATGTGCTTCTCAATTTCTGTTTATCCAGCTGCCCGTATAATTGCTTTACATGTTGGAAAAAGAACCCATGTGCCTCCAATGTACAGTTATTTCATATTACAATTTTGTGTCCAATTTAATGTCCAATTTAATTTATATCACACTGCACTGTGTTATGGAGGAGCTGGTGGTTTTCCCTGCATTTCCCACATACTTTGCATTATTATAAAGAATTTCTTCACTCTTTTCCCTGATATATCCTCAAACCAGTGGCATTAGCTGCAGACCTTTGATATTTGCCAGAGAAAATGGTCTGTGGCTGCAAATGTGACTTTGCAGTGAGTGTTTTTCGTTCTCATGAAATTCTTGCGTTTTTTTGCCAGGCTGTATCTTGTCAAAAATGATCATTTCCCTTACACCATGGAGAGCAAAGCTTGCTGTCTGATCTTCAGAAAATTACTGACTTCTTACTAAAATAATACTCAAATTGGGGTGTATGCAGTGAAATCAAGCACTGAGGGGGTGAGGAAACACCAGACTTAAGTATCCTGATGCCTTGTGCTGTGGGGAAATACTTATTACACTTATTTCATTGGGAGTTTGATGTGCTGACCGATGAACCACGGGCATGAGAAATTCCTGCCTTACTCTGCATCCAACAGCATCGATCCCTGGGTTGCTTAAAGGGTGCTGAGGCCACAAGAAGCGTCAGCAGAAGGGCAAAAGAGAAGCAGTTCTGGTTTTCTGATTCACAATTGCAGACCAAATTTTAATAGGGTGTAAAGAAGTGAAATTCCACTAACTTTGCATTAAAAATGTATTGATGCATCTGCTTTGGATTTGTGAAAGCCAGCGGTGGAGAACCCTTGTCACCAGCTGTGACAGGAGCTGTCTGCTCCATCCAGCTACCTGCCCCCGGCTGCAAGGACAGTGCTCTTATGTTGCCTTAACAACAGAAAAGAGTGAAGTTAGTTACTGATGTTATGTCAATGAGACAAAAAGGAGTGAGAGGAGGAAATTAATCACTTTTTTATTCACAGTTTTACCCACTAACTAGATGTATGACCAAAACAGACATTCTAAACACAGCAACCAAACAATAGCAGATATTTGCCTTTCATGGAATGCTTAAAAAAATTGGTGCTTCACTTGTGCAACAGAGAGGCGTTATTGAGCACTAGGAGATAAGGCTGAAAGAGGGTGTCTATTTACGGTGTTTTGAAACCTCTCTCCTATGGGCCTCTCTTTCCATTTTCTTTCATGCAATAAAGTTTTAATTCCTGTTTATATCGTAGTTTGTTGTCATGGAAATGGCTGAAAGGTTTGACTATAGAATGATTATGGTTTTATTGCGGAGAGATGGAGGAAGTGGAAAACAGACTTCAAGGGAGAGATCACCCATGTAAAAATGATGCATCTCCACCAATTCGCAGAACAGCAAATTCAATTATTTGATTATATCCAGAGGCAGAAGATGTTACAACTTTTATTACAAATGCTGCATTTTAAGAACAGAAGGGAGCATCTGGCGTATGCTTTCAAAGGTTATAGTTCAATAAGTATCACAAGTGGATGCTGCTTATGAAAATAGTGGTAATCATCTGACTTAATCTAGAAAACAGAATGTGCTCAAATCACATTGCAGTTGTTTATATGGATGTAAATATCCGCAAGCAGACTGCAAAATAGTGCTAATTGATCAGCAAGGACTTGCTCTATCTCTGCAGATTCAGAGCATCCATCTTTGAGTTACCTTTTCACCCCGTGTCCCTCTGTTACATCTCTGTGTTAACCTCTCTCTTTGTCATCTCTTCGTTAAGCAGAGAGGGAACGTGGTCACGGATAAGTTTGCTCTCAGTTAAAAGTATATTAAATAATTTATGGTAGGAGAGTAGTAGAAGATCATTCTGCATTTCTTTTTTTTTTTTTTTTTGAATGCCTTATGACATTCTGGATAAATAAGGTCCCTGATTTCAGACTTAATGTCACTGTCACTGATTCTGGAGGCAGCAGACACCTGCCCTGTGATTCCCAGAACAATAAACTTTACAACAAGGAAGGGATATGTTCACTTGACTGTTGTGTAGTTATTTGTATTCCTTAGCATTTGAATTGTGCTAGTGCCTGAACATGCAGGGTGGGGCTGGAAAATTAATTATTCCTGGTCCTAGTTTCCTATTTCCTTTTTGATGCTTTTGTGCCCAGTATGAAATGGGAAGCGTTAACTTGGCTGAATTTGGCAGCGAATTGGCAATTAATTCACTTGGCCTTCCACCAGTAGATGTGTGGGATAAATATGGATGACTTGATACAAATTGAAAATAATTTGATCTGAAGACGTCCCATCAGATGAAACTAGAGGTATCTTTAAGAGCGATTTGTGTCTTGGTTCTGTTGTGTTCAGATTGTTGCTTTTTAAAAGGCAGCTTAAACAACTTTGGGTTCCATAATATTTGCTACTGCTCCAGGTGTCATCTGTGTGGTGAGTTCAGGACAAAAGGTGTATATGTGCCAAAGACAAGAAGTTTGAGTTTTATTAGCTAACCGTTAGCCCACAGAAAAATGGGAAACTGCTTAAATGATGGACTTCTGCCCTGAGATGGAGCTCTGGCTCTAGCATTCCTGTCTTGGCCCGGTGACCCGACTTAGTGTCACCTCTAAAACTTGGAGAAGAAAGAATGGGAATGTCTTTATAGTTTCTGGTTGTAAATGTGTCAGCAAACAGTCCGGTGGTGCAAGACAGCTGTGGTGTGCTGCTCAAGCACCTAACAGGTACCCTGGTCATCAGAGGGCAGCATATGTTTTTTGGTATGTAATGTAGCATGCAATTCCAGGCTTTTAATATGAAGGAAAAATTCTGGAGAATGTTCTCCATATTTAATTAATTTTGATGAAAAAGTTATAGGCTTCTGTGTAACAAAGTCTAAAAGAAATTCCCAACCTATGAAAATTTGCTTTGGACCTGAAGATCATCCATATCTGTCTGCAATTTCTGATACTGAAGGGAGCAAGGTACATTGGAGGGATGTGGATCTTGTCTCAGTATGCACCTTTTTTTTTCCTATTATATTGATCCTTACAGTCTTTCTTAAACTCTTAACATTTAGATGTCAGCTGAAACCTGCAAAATGTAGATCTCAAAATCTCAACATGGAGATCAGGCTTTTTAGCTAGTCAGCAGCAAAACACATCCCTGATTCTTTTTGGGCAAGTGAATACTGCCATAATACAGCCAATAGTCATGACGTCTACCTAGAGAAGCAAAAAGATAGAAATCTGTTTCTATAAAGCAATGGAAAATATAATAAGAGCAAGTTGGCTGATACGCCCCCTTTCCCATGGAAACACCAGAAAAACAACCTAAGCTAAACACAAGCACAGAGGTAAATGTGTTTACACTACATATGACCATGATTGGGGCGACCATCCCTTGGTCAAACCTAGGTATGTATGTGCTGTGCTTAAACCAGCAACTTGGGGCCTCCAGTTTACTCCCACTTTACCAGATGTGTGCAAATGGCCACCTATGAATTCAATAGATCCTCTGCTATAATCCAGTAATAGTAAGGATGTTTCCATGCTAAATAGAATAATTGTAAGGATGAGACGTTTCCGTACGAAATACATTTCCAGTGCTTGAATTATTACTGAAGACCAGGAATGTGAGGAAACCTCGAGGGAAGTACCCAACATTGTGTAGACTCTGGTCTACAGCCAGTGCACCTCCCTGGTGGCACTCAATTAGTTATACCTCATACCAACCTGTTGTTGGAGGAAAGATTTCAGACCCAGAACTGACACCAGTAAACACTGCAAGACTAAACAATTAATTAGTAAAAATGTTTTATAGAAAACATAGGTATAAAAATTACAAAAACTGTATGCCCTGCAACCGACACCCACATATAAAAATTTGCTACATTCACCATTTGGCATAAAGAGTGAGATGAAAAGGATGATTCAGGGTGCAAATCTACCAACTGAAGTGAATATATCTTTCTATTCATCTTTAAATGTGTCCTGTCTGATATTACGTTATATTTCTCCCCAGGATAATATCCGGCAAGCATGGCTTGGGATTATTCAGAAATAAAATATGGTTATTCGGTATGATCCCATTTGGGCTATGCTCTGCATGCAGACACCAAGGATATGTATATTTAGATAAGAAAGAAGACCATGCCTGGAAGCATTTCCTAAATGAGTCATTATGATAGTATATATTGGGAGATGAAGAGTTACAGAAAGCAAAAAAAAAATGTGTATAATAGTTTGTCTTAATGTGAGCTCTTACTTTGTGTAGTTTCCCATGTTTCCACAGTTTATTTCCAGTCCTTTTTAACAGTGTGACTATTGGGTAATAGAAGTAATTTCTGAGCCACATGGAGGGTTCTCATTCTAATCTGTCACTGATAAATCTGCTTTTTCTTCGTTCAAATGAGCATATAATGTAGTCTTAAAAAAAAAAAAGCTATTAAATAGACTCAATGACTATAAGATTGAAAGACAGGAGTCAATCCTGTGCTTAGACAAACAGCCCCAGCTATTTGTAAAGGCAAGCAGCTGCCAAATCTTTTCACCAAGGTGTCATTTGGCTACGCAGGGCATGGTTTTGTATTGCCCAGCTTTTTGTAGAGGGGATATGATTTCTGAATTAAGCACGAAGGAAAACTGAAGAAAAGTTTTGCAACAATATTTTCAGTTTCATTGGGAATTAGATGATTTGTGAATGAGACAAATTGAAGCATTCCAGTTATGGATGGAGAAATTTACACCCTGACCATCACAGAAAGCAGCAAAAATCAGAAAACAAACAAAAACCAGCAAACACTGGCTGGAATCATAATTTTGGCTAGAAGTCAGCAAGCACTTCTTTGCTCCAACCAAAAAGGTGTTTCAGAAGTCCTCCTCCTGCTGCTTGCATGCAGGAGGTTAGATGAACAACAAGGTGATGCTTTTCTGGGTCACAAAAGTAAGTGGTTGTCATTTGTTTCCTCTCATTTAGAAACAACGTAGGGAGCTGAACGATAAATGTTTTTGCTCCTGAGACCCATAGGCAAGAGCCATACAGGGATTTATTCCTTATCCTCATTTGAAGGTTCCCAAAGCAACCATAATTTAGTAGAAGACCGACCACCACCCTGTCTTCCTGGCACCGTTCTGCTGATTTCAAGCAAGGCTTGCAGAGCAGCTATCTGCCATCCCTCTTCTGTTCCACCTTCTTCTCCTCACCACTTTCACTAAACACGATTAAAATGCACGCACGGTGCAATCTGGCATCGCTCCACTGCTGATATTGTAGAGGTGCTGATTTGTGCAAATATAGACATGTATAAATGTATATATACATAAAACAGTCCTACTCATACAGTTAACAAATGCACTCGCTTGTGTAAGTGAAAAAAAATTACAAAAAAAGTCTGTCCCTTTTTGAAAAAAAAAAAAAATGGAAGGACCTAAATTGCAGGTCATGGTAAAGCAGAGATAGATGTGTATGTTTTCCTTAAAAAGACAGTCTTCAGGGTCAGTTTTTCTGCTCTGCTTCCTACCAGTGGCAGACAGTCCAAGTAAACATGGAAGCAGCATGACAAGCTCAATTTGTGGCAAAAGTCTAACAGAATTCAGGGTTTAAAGGGAAAAAAAAAAGAATTTCTTATGGGTGACACCGTTGCTGTCAGCAAGTGCAGCAGCAAGTGTGTTCCTCAGCCTATTGCTGGCCTGGTGAAACCTCTGCAGAGCGCTGACTTGAGTAAATACGCAGGACCATAATGTCCTGGTGTCTCAAAATACTGGCCAATTTCAAAGCTTTTCTGTACAATTGCAGCAGGTGGGTTTTTTTGTTTGTTTTTTATGTACAGCATACTGATTAAGATGGACTCAATCCATCTTAATGGCTTTCCATGGCCATTAAATCCATCCATGGCGTTTCATTCTGAAAAACGCTTAAGCACATATTTAATTTCAAGCACACAAACACTCCCTTGTTAGCAAGGCCATTCATGAGCTTAAAATTAATTAGGCACTTAAGTGCTTGGCTAGATTAGAGCAGAGATGCAGTGCTGTGTGTCTGGTAGCCCTGCTTCTGTAAAACAGGTTCAGATAGGAGCTAATTCCTGTCAGAGTAACTCCACTGGCATCCTTGGAGGCATCGGGATGATCAAGGCAAGGTCCAAGTGCAGCCCATGAGTAAAATTTGTTTTTCAGTCCCAGCCTGAGTAACTAGAGGAGCAGCAGCCCCTGCGCGGCTCAGCGATGATCTTGGGCAGCATCTACCTGCTCTTGCCCGAGGTGGCATCGGGCGCTGTAAACCCTCGTTCCTCCCCAGTCCGCTGTGACTGTGCAGCTGCTCTTCCTCCTTATTGGGTCTTCGGAGTCTGTTTCTACACAGCCAGAGCTCTTCCACGAGCCGGGAATGGGGGGTCCAGTATTGTGGGTGCTGTCTGATTTCCAGCCCCGATTTTACAGAATTTCAAGCCGGTCCTAACAGTGCAAATGGGTTCCTGTGGAGCGTGGTCAGAACCTCCTAACTGATCATAAAGGCTCCGAAGAAACTCGCCTCTTTGTCCATGTCGACTATATCCCCGTTGCTGACAGACACAAAAATCCTGTCGTCCCTTTTGAGCTGGAAGACACCCCCTTGGTAGATGGAGTGAAGCCCGTACTCGGCCTTCCTCGACCAGCAGCTTGTCCTGGCGCTTTTCATGAGCAAAATGGGCTCAGGGTAGTTGGTCAGTTTGTAAACGTACTGGACCAGCTGCTTGGGGTTCCTGATTTGGGCCAGCAAGGCCGAGTCCTCGTGCTCATTTTCGCGGAAGCGGAAGTACGTTTGCGAGTAGATGTAGTAGAAGCCTGTCTTGGGCACCACGAGCTCGCCGTTCCGCAGCTCCACGTTGTACAGGAAGGAATGGCCCTTGTGAGACGACTCCCAGCTGTTTATTTTTTGGCCTCTGCCTCTTCTGGGTGTGGAATCTACTGCAGAAAAAATAAAATAAAATGAGAGGAGATGTAAAGTTAAAAGCACTCAAGTAATTAAGCCTGGGGTCTGCTTTTCCAAAAAGAAGCACATAAATTGGCTGCTCCCATTGCTTTCAAAAGGCAGCTCATTAGGCCTGTTCTGTACAAACAGTTTGAACGTCCATACGTAAGCTGGTTAGCTCTATGTGGGAATTCACATTTCTCACTAGCAATTTTTGCCCTCCCAAAACAGTGCATATCGCAGTGCAGTTTCTTAGCAGCACAGGTAAAATAGCCACAAGGGTGCAGAAACCCCAGCACAGCTCCAATTAGCACAGCTCCGGTGTCCGATCTTCCCTGTCCATGCTTTGCATTTCTAATATGTTTCTCAACATAGCAGCTGGCGAACAGACGGAAATTAAAGGAAAGTGAAGAGGAAAGCTCAACATTAGGAAGAGGGATTTTATTTACTGTTTTTTTCTTGGATGAAGCCTCCAGAAGAAAAGTTAGAGGGGCATCCAGAGCCGAAAGGGTTTTTCTCTATGCTACAGGAATGAGCTGAGGGAGAAAAACACTCTCAACAGGACACAAAGGCATTTTGGTACTTGGTTTCTCATTATTAACTCAGTGTAAGCATGGAGAAGCCCCAAGCTAGCAAAGAGGGCAGAAATGGCTGTTTTTATCCTTACTGCGTGGGGATAGAGAGTTCTTCTTATTGCTGCTGCCCGTGAGATGCGCTGCTATTCGGTAGACGGGATCTGTCTGCGGCTGCTCGTTGGTGCTTGGGAACGCGAGGGCTCTCTCAGCTAAACGAGGGCAGAAACAAACTTGGATTAGGGTCGACGATGGCAGAAAATGGCTCATAAATGTGGCTGTCATTTTTCTTGATTGACTACAGAGTAGACAAGGCGGTTTTGTATAATAAGGCTCAAAATTCTCCCTTGCTCCCTTTCAGATGTCCTTGCATGCCTCTTTGATCGCCTTCCTCCATTTCTCCTCCCCAGGTTCTCTGGACCCCGGCTCTAAATGTTTAGCCTTTAATTCTGGCTCCCAAAAACACACCTCCTAGTAACACATTGTCCTTTTCCTCTAACCTGCCACTCAAGAACTGGAGATAATAGGGCAAAATCTGAAGTCCCTGTTTTCTGTGCTTTTAAAAAATAGCCCAAAATCACAACACATCAGACCCCATCAGCAACCTCTTTTTGCCGCAGTTAATAAAATGACTGTAATACCATTGACTGCAGATATGTTTTCCTCATAACTTCTTGACATCATCTGCCAATAAACACAGAGAAAAATAATTAGTTTGTCAGCAGAAAGCAATGGAGGCAGGAAATAGACACTTTTCCCTCGGACTCGCAGATAAATGGCATTATGAATTTTTGACCATTAAGCAAATCAAAAAAGCCTGTATCATTAATTCTTTGTAATAAAGTATTTCTACAGCTGCATTTTTTATGTAACTAAATGTTCTGGGGAAAAAAAAATACATTTTCAAGAGTGCCCAGCAAGGAGTTCTTACTCATTCTGAAAATGTGACCCTTGTGCTCTTCTTCAATAAGAAGAGATTTATGGGCAAGCACTCGTTCTCATTCAGCCAATAATACTTTGCAGTGCCAGACTTCTTTGGGATTTTAGCTCTCGGAAATTAAATTTGTTTTCTTTTTATACCTCTATCTATCTAGAATGTTTTTAAGGCAGCGTATCTTCTTCCCTACATTTTCCCTTTTTTCATAACCCTTTGCTGACTGCTTTTAAATGAAACATTTCAGGTGCTACAGGCAGGACAGCTGTGGCAAACCTGCCCTTAAGATGATTTACCTTGATGATAAACTTGGCCTCCATACTGTGATTTACTGCTGCGTTCTGCCCTGCTACAGCCTTTTTGTGCAATGAGGGAGCTAGTAGGTAGATTGGGCATCTGTTAGCTATTAGATATATTAAGATACGTAAAAGTCCACAAAATAAAACATTGTTCTCTTCACGCAGCATGACAGGAGCTTCACAGGCAGAACTTGCACTGAAGTAACTGAGATCTTTGGCTGCTAAATGTGGTGTCGACTAGGGGACGCAAAGCCTGAAGTGAATTTGCATGGATGGGGATTTTATATGCTGGAGGTGCAATTTTTGGGAAGCATTCCTGGGTTTAGCCCTTTGAGCTTTCAACCAGGCATAATTTATTCCCTGCAGGCAGTGCTATAGGTGCGGGATGTCAGGCTGGTGGGAGCGCATGTGCCCGGCCCGCTGACCTGTTACACAGCTCCTGGTGGGACCGTCGCTTGGGCGCTTTTCTGCTGCAATTTATTTCATTTGCTTGTGACAACAAGTATTTTTGCCTGGAGAATGGCATTTCTGCAAATTTGGGCAGGTAGAAAGCAAGCATTGGGGAAGTCAAACAGAGCTCCTGTTTGTGCAAGCAGGAAGCAAGGGCCAAAGAGGGACTTGCTTTGGAAGGACGATGAACAACACTTTTCGCTCATGCCTCTTATATTCCCTTTAACAGTAACGGACCTACTAATGGTTTATTCCATAGAGTAGGGGCACTTGGTCCCATTACCTACACCCTTCTCCAGCTTGAGCCCAACTTGATTCTGCTGTTGGGCAGTAGCTCTTTGAGATGGTCAAGTCCCACAGTTCAAGAGTGCACAGGTTCCCAAATACCTTTTTAATTAACCTTCCCAGTTGCCACTTGACTTGCCAGCAGGGATCAGCCTCTCTTTCATTTTCAATTGTGTCCAGGTTTTGTATGAAGCTTCCGAGCTCTTCCCCGGTGAGGCAGGCAATGCCGCTCTTCGAGTACGTGTCCTGGAGCTGTGTTAGAAGGGAAAGCAGAATTTCTTGTTTATGATGTGCTCATAGGCTTTTGGTTGTGGTACATCTCTAGCTTAGGCACACACTGGCTTTTCCTAGTAGCGCTTGCTGGTACGGTGCAGGTTGTGACTGGCAGAATGCACCACGCATTCTCATTTTGCATCTTTATTTCATTACAAGGATACCTAATATGCAAAGGAAACACCAAACCCTCTCCATTGGTATATGGTACTCAACTAAGTAAGCTTGGTGGGAAATTCAACACCTAAACTATAACCTTGTGAATGCTTTAGTCTCTGATTCTACATTAAAAATACCTCTTCTGCACAGTGGATTTTTCTTTGCAAATTACTGAGGACAAAATCAAGTATCAGACCATAAAGTTAGTTAAAAGCCTAAAAGGCCATTCTGTCTTTTCAGGAAAATGCTACTTCTGATGCAGGCTTTCCCTGGCATGTATCCATGGCAGTTTGGGGTCACTCTGTAGTAACCTGGAGCTCTGTTTGACTGAATAGTCCAAAGCAAAATCCTCACAACAACAGAGATGTTTCAGTTCAGATGGAGTTATAAAGCTAAATGCTGAGGTTCATGCCTATGCTCTGTGGGTAGACAGAAAGTGCCTTTTTTTTGCAAAGGATAAAAAAGAAACGAGTTCGCAGAGTGCCAAAATTCCTGTTGACTTCCTGAGTGTGTAAATGATATCAGAAAAGCTCTCCCAGGCAGTGCTGCCTGTGCAGGGCTAGGCAACGTGCAGGACTCAAGCTGGCGCTGTTGCTTAATGCAAGAGCACCAAAGCCTGGGAGTAATCGCTGCGGATTATGAACTCCTGTTTGCTTTGAACCCAGTAGTGCTGTATCAGCTATAAATCCTGGTGAGACTCATTATGCAAGCAAAGCATTACATAAAATTTGGAAAAACAGCAATCGGCAATGAGCACGCAGAGCCGTTCAGACCAGCTTCTTGTTTTAATATTTCACCTTTCTTGCATTAAAGAAGTTTGGTGCAGTTTGCTCTACATTAACTCAACATGCACCAGAGTTGCAGCTGCCCTTAAGCCTGCAGCATTGAGAACCGCAAGTAAGAGCTTCCTCTTGCACCTCCTCCTCCTCACTCCATTCTCTTGCTGCCCCTTAGGAAACAAAGACATTCAGGAAGAGATTTCACACTTCAGAGGATTAGGAGAATCCACCCACATTACACTGCAGTTATTCTGCTGTCTAACAGCAAACCTTTGAGTTGGACAGCTGACTTAATCTGGAGCTTAATTTGATATTTGAAAAGATTCCTGTGCTTTGTAGTCACCCATGAAGAATGCTGCCACCACACTGAGTCCATGAAGACTCCTGAGTCTTTGCTGAAGAAAACACTGATATTTTTACGTAAGGTTTCTTGTTCTGAGAACTCAAAAGTCATGAAAATTATGGGCTTACTGAGGTACATCTACATCTGTGCTTAAACTTTGACGGATTTAACTACAATAGATTCTATAATAAGATTGTTTGAAAAACACCATGCAGACCAGACGTGTTTACTCTCTTATCACACCTGGCAAAGCTCACCTCCAAGCTTTGCCCTCCCACCTGGTAGCAAACAGTACTGCACTTTTACCTTTTGTTTACCAATCTTCCCCACACAACCACTTCAGTCCACTGCCCCTGGAACAATATTTTGCATCGACACTGAGATCTGCAGGGATTGCAACCTTGTACAACCACTGTCTAGTGCAGAGGAATGGCTACTGCTGCCCTATAGGTGAAGGAAACAAGGCATCAGGGTGTTGCAAGGCTTATCCATAGCATGCAAACCCCTGCCACAGAAAGCCCTACAGCAATGCTAATAGAATCTGAATACTTCCAAAACTTTTCCTATTCCAGGACTTCTACAAGGACTATGTTTTTGAAAAGGAAGTCTGAGGATATTTGCTTTTCAGCCCTATATCCTGAAGCATAATGCACTTTATTGTGCTCTCTTCCTGCTTACTAAAACTGAAACAAGTATCTGTAGCTCTAACAGCTACAGCTGCAGAGATAAAAACTGCCAGTTAAAACTTTTCTTTTTGTAAAGATTGAAATATCTGCACTGCAGCCATAGTAATGTGGGCAAGCTGTAGAAAGGCAGATACTGGGAGCAAAGAGAAGAAAAATGAGCAAAGATCAGCAGTGTGTATGTCGAGATTCATTCCACGTTCACCGCGAGGATGTGGGGCAGCACTCTGCAGCTCTAGATTAGCTTTTCACATCTTTGTCATGCACCAGATGAAGTTCTGCAGTCCTTAAGGTGCAGTATATACCATAGGGCCAGCAAGGTTACTTTTTCGCCAAGCAGAACTTCAGCATGAGCAGATTTAGTCTTTTGCACCAAGTGCAGGCATGTTATTCTTTAGAAATAGTTACATTCTGTGCAGATGTGGTCCTGTTCAGGTATATGTATTTCCGTGAAAGCCAGGGAAGGGCAAGTGTTGCTACTCCTTACTTAGATTGGCAAGGGTTTTTTTGCATGAAAAATGAGAAGGCAGGGATGTAATTTTTCATCACTGATATTATGTGATCTGATTTCATAAAATGATCATATTTCTATGATTGCCCTGTGTTGCAAAATATGGAAGCCTCAGGTATAAACTCAGCAGAAAACAATCTGTTTTGTACAGTTTAATATAATCATTGACTGCAGAATACTGCCCTTTAACCGGGGCTTCACTTCTAAAAACACTCCCACTTCCTTTAATTGTGCTGTGGGGAAAACACACAGGGAACCAATAATACTAGTTTCCTGAAATAATATAACCACAGTGCACTTACCTGCAGCGGGGTTTACCTTTGTGCCGTGGAGAGCCATATGCTCTTACCACTGTATAGCAAGGAGTATATGTGGTCAAGGAAACCCTGAGTGCAAACTTCATAGAATCCAAGGAATTCCTTTGTTTTCGGGCAAGGAAGGAGTTAAGAGGAAGTAAGCAAGGTTAGCTGCAGGAAGCCCAAAACACCAGGGCTGGACAAAGGGTATTTTACAGGTCGTTAGGAGAAATCGTGCTCTTTATCTGCTTGAAATTCCTCCAGGATTAACCAGTGTCTTAAAACTGTGTATGTTGCTGGAGGAGGCATTTAAAAAGAAAGAATCTGGGGACCTTTGCTGCCTTTTTTTTCTTTCTTTTTTTTTTTTCCCTACTTGCTGTCTATGTGTGAGTGTCCATCCAGTGCTTATCCTCTTCTAGTCCTCCCAGTGTTACTGATGTTCCTGCGGGACGTCCCAAGCACTGCAGTGCGATCAGGGAGGAAGGCAAGGAGCTCTGAGAACCTCCTTTCCCAGGTTGCATTCTGCAACTTCTGCAGTTTCTGCAACTTTTGCAACTCCTGCAACGTGTGCGATTCCTCAGAGTTCTGCACGGCCTGTGCCCGGCTCTCCCCGCGCTGCCACCCACCTGCTTGAGCTCGCTGGTGAAGTAGAGGAAGGTGACGGCCACGCAGAGCGACTGCAGCAGCACAGCGGCGGCCAGCACGAGCGCGCAGCTCTGCGCCGCGCTGGGGCCGGCGGACAGCATCGTCCTGCGCTTCCCCGCGCGCTTCCCCGCGTCCGTCCCCGCGCTCCTGCCGCTGCTTCCCGCTGATGGTGGTGGGCCGGGAGGAGGGACATGGGCGCGGAGACATCCCTGCTCTCCCGCCCCAAGTACCGCCTTCCTTAATAATAATAAACCTCCCTGTGTTCAAATTGCCCCGGATAACAAGGCTTCCTCTTCCTGGCCCTTGCGCTTTGGAGCGCGGTCACTTTGGGGACGATGGGAGCGCAGTTCTGCAGGGATGGAGGTGTGCGGAAGGTCCCGGGGTTTCCTGGCCTGTGTTTTCCCCAACTTCTCTCTTACAGCTGCTGGGTCCAACTGTGGTGTCCCTGGGACGATATCCAGCACTTTTTCAATCGAGTCCCAGTCTGGAGCTGCAGGAACTTGGACAGAGCAGTTTTTCATCCCCCATCACGAGATGCTTTAATGAACCTGGTACATCCTTTATGTGAAAGTCACTTTGTTTCCTTAAGCCACTTTTCACATCCTTAATCTGAAGTCACTTTTGGCGATTTTATTTTTTGAGTGTTTGTTTTCAAACCTCTGTGGTTCCTGCTTGCAAGCTCTTCACAGTATTTCGCCCCAAATCAGGGTTTCCACAGGCATCTGTGTGATTTAGGGCATGTGTCCACTGACCTTTTCAGTAGGAGCCTTTTCCTCACACATAACCATGGGTTAAGCAGCAGCTTCCTAATGAGCTGTGGATGGTTCAAAACCTTTAGAGGAAGCACCACTATGGACCTGCTGAGAGTGCAGCCACACAAAATAGACTTTTGAACCCAGAGACTTAGATTCACTTTCATGTTGTTGCTGCAGAGCAGGATGAAAATAAGGCCCTTGCCTGAAAGTCCTAACCAGTGCATGTAACCAGAGGATGCAGGCAGCTTCCACATGGGAATTCTCTGGGCAAAATTAAAACAAAGAGCTCTTCTCTGAGCCTCTCATGGCTATCTGGATAGTCTTTAGGAGATGTAAATGCATTGAACCATTTACAGAGAAATTGTTTGGTCTTCCATTGCAAACTTTCATAGTAAAACAATCCCTGGATTCCTATTTAATGTGGCAACAGGCGATTTGTTTGCCTGGCTTTGAGTAGCATTTAATCTGCATGCCAATTTGTGTAACTCCCAAATATGCATCAAATGGAGAGAATTAATGTTTTCTTGAACACGGGCTCATTCTCTCCTCCTACAGTCTGTCTGCAGAGTCAACGTGACCTCCTGGGTTTGTCTGGCTTGCAGCATCCCAGCCCCTTACTGAGCAGCACTAGAGGAACCTCCTTTGGTTTTAATTAATACAAAGTTTTTCTTTATATGATCTTCACAATAGAAATTTCCAATATATTTTAGCACGTGCACAAAAGAATTCTACAAAACAACTTGCTTTATCATGCTTCATAAGAAGGAAATTTCATCTGATAGATCCCTGTAAAAAGTTGGTTTTGTTGTTGGTATTTGCCTCAGAGAACGAATTCCGCATTCTGAATAAGGTTTTCCCAGCTTTTTGTTCCAAATGGTTAGGAAGTGCTTACTGCATTTTCAAGAAACAAAACTTCCCGGTAGTATTTACTTTTAGAAAAGAATAGAAACAAAAATGAAAGCAAGCCAGGGCACTCTCTAAGTTATATTGTCCTCTTGGTATTCATTCTTAGGAGTCAGTCTCTGATTTTCCATACATTTCTTTTGGTTTTGTTCTCAACCAATGGCAGCAACAGAATTAATTAAATCTACCAGTTTCCCAGAACTACATAAATCTAACAGTTCACACAAGATCTTCCAGAACTATAAACTCAAGGTAGTTTACCTACAAGGTACTAAACTCTTGTAGGTGTCTACAAGACATCCCCTTACTCTTCTTTTGAAACCCCCATGGATCTTCTTTGTCTCTGATTTAATACTTGCTTAGTTATCATCATTATTGCAAGACTAAATTAATGAAGCCTTTTTTGAAAAGAACAATGAGGAAAAATAGGGGAAAACATGCTCAAATACCCCTTCCAAAAATAAGCATGTCACACTTCAGCTTGAATTTTTCAGATCTTAAGAAAATCGTACACTGATAATGCATTTGGGGTTTTCCACACCAATGTAGGCTAACAGGAAATTGAAATTCCAACCGTTTTCACTGTAAAATATACTTAAGACTATTTCTGCTTTTAAAAATTGAATTTCCAAATTCAGTTATTTTTTTTCTATAAGAATTGTGAGCTTATGCTGTCAAAATTTTATTTTGAAGTTTCTGAGAGTATCACATCACTGTTTTGATGGAATTTTACCCCAGTAAAATGCCAGGGTCATGACACCAGCAGCAAGGAATGTCATTGGCTCCCATGAAAAGCGAAGTCTTGTGCATCGGCGTAGAGCCGCATGCAGGGAGCTCACCAGCAAGACCTCTGATTCTTTCTGGCTCCTTCATCCCATTAAAGCCTACCCAGTGAACCGTTTAATTAGATATAAGCCTTAATCCCTGCCCCACGCCAGGGTAATGCAAGAAATCCTTGGTCTCGGGACCTGTACGAACTGGCATATAAAGAAAACCCTCTGTCCTGAGTGCTGTTGATGCTCTGAAACCTCTTTGAGGGCCATGAGTCCCGCTGTCAAGCCTCGTGATGGAGCAGGCTGGAGAAGCAGGATCCAGCCCTTGTCCTTGCACATCTGCGGGGCAGATGGCAGCTTGGCCAGACTCAGACCTCCCTTTTTGCTGCCAGTTGTAAACCATTGCAAATTCCTGTCTTCATCACGATTTAGACTGTCCTTGGCTCAGAGTGAGGACCTCCTCACCAGTATCATGCCCTTTCTGCATAGCGTGTCACACAAACAACAATAATTGCTCCAAATGTAGGTAGGAATGATTTTTTTTTCAGATCCAGCATGTCTTTCTTTCACTGTTTCAAGCAGTAGATTTGGTAAATAAAGCAGGGAATATATTTGCATGTGCATACCAACGATCTCCAGTAACACCCTAGCGTTAACATTTTAGCTCTGACTTCAAATACTTGATTTTTAGTTGATAAAATACTTAGTCTTTGGCCTCTTCATGCACCATTTGGATTTGTCATTAATTATGTTTCTTATATAGGGGACCTTTGAAGAGTATACTTCCCTTTATGAGTGCTCTTCATCTTTAGTGAATAGCACTTCATTAGCCATCTACAAAAACTTAGAAAGCTAGTTCTTGAGTAGAACATTAACACTCTTTAATCTGTAACATCAGTACTATTATAGGACAGAAGGAGACTTCTTTTGCTCGGTTTACACTGCAAGAGCAGATATATTTGTATGAGGGAGTGCATGTATAGGATGGTGATTCCCTTGCTGAGAATTGCCAAGCAGATTGGAAGCAGTATTCTCCAGTCTAGTAAGTCCTCACAAGGTCATTAGCTACGTTTGAGGTTTGTCTGCATCGTGTCCAGATCCTCAGCTCTCTCCTCTGCTGTGTCTTGAAAAACCGAGTCCATTTATTGAATCACCATGGCTTAGAGGGGCAAGAACACATCTTTTTGATGAGGTGGGCTAGACCTTACCATGAAGTTGGGCAAAACTCCCATAAACAGGGTACTACCGCAGCCCAAGTGCTCCAGGAGCCTGAGCCAAAAGCACTGGGCGCAGTCTGGCAAAACACGGGGACGTAACCTAATGAGGCAGTGCAATTGCTTTCACCAGGCATGCCTTGGTCTGAGACTCCTTGTTGTTTTCCTGCGTTATAGCGGAAATGATTTATATGTAATTCTTTTAAACATGATTGGTAGAGCTGGTAGCAGCTCGGAACTTCAGGATTCTGAGCTTTGGAAATTTGGAGCCTAAAATTGCAACTTCATTTACAAATTTCTGTTTGTCGTAATAGTCCAAAAAATATTTTTGGAGTAGCTGAAATGATTTAATCATTAGGATGATGGGTCCACTCTAAGGGCTATATAGCTATATCTGCCTGTACGTCCTTGGAGATCTCTCAGGTTGACGCAGTTCACTGGTGGTGCAGCTCTCACAGGACTGCGTTGGGTGAAGCCTGTCACTGTACTGCACTGTGCATTAACAAGGTGATAATGTTGGAACAGATTCACTGCAGTCTTGGCTCCAGAGGAAGGCAGGATGAAATCCATAACAAACCTAGCGGCCTCTGTAATATTTTACAAAGCGGGAGGAATCTTTCCATTATATAGCAAAGCCCTGCTAGCCAATCTGCTTAAGCCATGAAGCATAAAATTTGATTATCTTTATCATAGATGAGCGCCTTTAACCTCCATTGAAATAGAAGATAAATATTTCTCTTTAGGGTGCCAGATATGTGTGTATATATATATATATATATATATATAAAAGATATTCTTTTCAGAAACTTCTTCATGGTAAAGCATCTGTCATATATTTGTCTGACTTTGCCTGGGATGTAGCTTCCTCCTGGGAGAGATTAAAAGCAATAAACAAGGTGATAGAGAATTTAATGAGATTTCTGCTGCCTCGCTGAGGGGGACCTGCCATTCGTGCACCTGAGGGCTCAGTGCAGCGGGAGTGCGGGTCTCACTGGGACATGTTCTTCTAGCGAGCCACCAAATGCTATGGGTGCCAAGAGACAGAACATACCATTGGGGATTTTTTTTTTTAATTTTTTGAAAAGTCTTTCTCATTCTTGTAACTAGAAAAAAAGAGTGGGTTGGACAGTATATTTGTGCATATTAATTGTGTGGGTTGCTTTATATCTTGTGACTGAGAGCATAGAGTGAAGCTAAGACCTTGGCTCTGTCCAGCAGAATCTTAGGTTTGCTGCAGGCTCAGCTTGGCATGGCCTAATGCATTTGCATTTACAGCTGTGCAACCATCACAAGGACATAGTAATGGCAGTGGGGAATAGCTTTGTATTTACCCCTACTTAAGCGCATGCACAGCAGAAGGATTGTGCCATCAGTTTGGTGGTATCTGCTCCACTTTGAATGTTGCTCATGTCAGACAGATGGACAGTGGTAAATGCTGAGGGGGCTGCAAGGGGCT